CTTTTAGCGGAGATTCGACTTGGCCGTTTCCTGTGCAGTGTGCATCGCGCACTTCTGGCCAAGTGAAAGAGTGTGTTTGTCATCAGTCGATTACAGTGGTCGTGACTTAAAGTGTAGGGGGGGGGGGGGACGAGGGGTTGAATATTTTGGAGGAGGGGGAGTAGGAGGAAGGGTTTGTGTGTGTGTGTGTGTGTGTGTGTGTGTGTGTGTGCGCGCGCCCGCGCATACGAGAGAGATAGATAGATAGATAGATAGAGAGAGAGAGAGAGAGAGAGAGAGAGAGAGAGAGAGAGAGAGAGAGAGAGAGAGAGAGAGAGAGAGAGAGAGAGAGAGAGAGAGAGAGAGAACTGTCAAACCCCATGCAGATCCATGGCTCAATACAATGTATTCCCCAACTCGTTAAGGACTAACTAGCAACCTCCTTGCTCAATAAAAAAAGTGGGTAGTTGGTAAGTTCTCTGGTATTTAGTTAGTTTAGTTTTAGTAGGGGTTTTACGGTGCTCGCAACTGCATAAGGTCATAAGTGAGCGCCAGAAGATTAGAGGTGTTACAAGAGAGTAGCAAACATAAAAAAGAAGAAGGGGAGATAAGGACGATAGATGTTTGACAGAAAAGAAGGACATACCACACCAGAGCACCCGCCTACAACCCACTTCACTGGTATAGTCTGCACCTTCTTTCCTGTCAAACATCTATCGTCCGCATCTCTCCTCCTTCTCTGTGTATGTTATTCTCTCGGGGCAACTTTAATCTTCGACACTTATATGACCTAATTGTGATGCAAGTGCCGTCAAATTGTTACTAGAACGTCAAAAAAAATTGATTTTAAAAAATGAACTATAGAACTGCATGACTGGTTTTAAGCCTGAGCCTCGTTAAGAGCAACTAATTCCCGGGCCTCACCCGCATCTTCAGAGGACGGGACCGAACCCTAACCTTCCGCCTGTCATTCAAACCCAAAACCCGACACGACAAACGCCCGCCATGAGATCAGACCGACCGCCGTTGGTTTTAAACCGTGTGTCTTCGTTTAACATTGCAACTAATTTGCAGCGCTCACTCAGTTTGGGGGCGCGTTTTGGTATAAATCAACTCACTTCCCGCACGGCTCGCGCGCTATTCCTGTCTGACGATTGAATCATGAGGTCACGTGGTCTGTCGTTCTTTCATTTCCCGCGTCAGTCAGAGGCAGACGACAACCTCCCTGGATCCACTGGCACAGCCGCGCCTTCTAGCGTCAATCACAGAATAATGTGTGTGTGTGTGTGTTTGTGTGTGTGTGTGTGTGTGTGTGTGTGTGTGTGTGTGTGTGAGTGTGTGTGTGTGTGTGTGTGTGTGTGTGCCTTAACTCTCTGAAGAGCATTCTTCTCGGTGTTTTTATTTAAAGTAAGTGTTTTACGCCCCCATTGACACAATTTAGAACAGTTAGGAGGCGGGCTTCCAGTCCTGCCTATCAAGGCCAACCTGGGCTGAGAGGGAAACAACACCCCAGCAGAAAGATCAATTTATTGGAGAAAAATTTTCCCCACACGAGAATCGGACTCTGTTCTCCTTCTTGCGACAAAACGAAGCACTCATTTTTACCGCCACACCAGAGACTACGATTGCCCGGAATACTTGTCCTCAAAGAGTTAATCAGAGGGAGACCTAGTGGTCGACACCCCCCTTTCCCCGTACGAAAAAAAAATGGTATAGGTTTTACGGTCCTATCAACTCCCCGGACAATCCACCCGGACCAGAACCCAAAGATGACGACAATGACGACAACGACGATAACGACAACGACGATAACGACGACGAAGACAGCAGCAGCAGAGAAAATGCCCCGCCTCACGACTGTCTGCCATTTCCTGGCTTTTACCTCCCGGTGTCGAGTGTCAGACAGAGGCGAGGCTGACGTGCGTCCGACCGGGCCGTGCTGGGGACGTCTTCTACCCCGGTGCTGAGAGGAAAGTGATACAAATTGTGTCGCGACGCGGGGAAATAAGGTGCTCGACAATTTTTTGGGAGGGTATAGATCTAGAGTTGTTAGTATAATCCTAAAGTGTATTTTTCTTTCATTTTTCAAAGCAAAAAAATACCCATTTATCTTGAATAGCAGTCGGGATTGAAAAAAGTGAAGGTCGCCTGGTATCAGGGGTAAAATTAGCGAGAGAATGGCCACCAAAGTTTAGTTACTTCCAAAGCTTCAGTGTCCTTGGGAACTGCAAGTTAACTTTTTGCCTTTGAGCAACGGGGTTTTTTTTTGGTCTTGTTTATTGTTGTTTGGGGAGGGGGGGGGGTATTTTTGGTAGATTTCTTTTAAAGTAAAATCCACAACGAAATATGTTTTTGAATGGACATAAAAGGTACTGGGTCCCAAAATAAAATTTAGCCTGCGGACGGAAAAAAAAGTCTGTTAATTCAATTCCATTATTCAGACGAGCGCCTGATTTCACCGTGATGCCACGCAGATTATAATGCCTTCCAACTTGGACGTGCAAGGGACGTGCTCTCCTCCGAGGCTGGGAGGAAAGTGATACAAATTATAATGCCTCCCAACTCGGAGGTCCACGCGGTCAGCGGTAATACCTCCACGGTTCCGGGTTTGTCCTAGAGATGGACTACCTACTTCCGGCGCGTTTGCAGAGAGACTTTGGCTGCTGTGAGTCTCTGGGCGGACTCATCAAGTTGAGTAAAATCAGGCTGAGGGGATTAAGTTGTTCTAGACCGGTAGTACCGAACGATCGAGTGTGATGGTCTGGGAATAAGGTTAAATCACTTACCGGGAAGTTTTCAGTAATTTGAGATTAACAATAGAGTGATTTGTTAGCCAACAGCGGGGGAGGTAAGCTGCCGTGTGGTTCATTCAACAACGCTTAGAATATTCGGAACTTTCTAATAGCCTCGACAAAAACAAAATGGAGACTGATTAGTTTCCCCACTTGAAACTATTCCGTTGTTTGGATAGAACGGAAGGCATACGTGCGCTGACGCTTCTGGACCTGCCCACTCTATTGCTGTTGCTGTTTTTTTAAAGTAGATATTTTTACGCCCCAATCGACAGATTTAGATTGTGTCGGAAGCGTGCTTCTGACCCTGTTCTTTACGGATAACTGTGGCTGAGAGGGATACAACGTCCCAGCAGAAAGACCGAGACACTTGATAAACGTGTTCTTCCCACTCGGGTTTCCTGCATGCCACAGCGAAGCTCCTTACCGCTACACCACAGATGTCGGTCGTTACGCAACCAAAATACAAAATAAGCAAACAACATAATATTACTTTGATTTATCTATATCCCTATGTATTCAATGCCCTCGGATTTTTCATGACTTTTCTTCTTCTTCTAAATTTAGGTACAGTTTAACCAGCTCCGACGGCCACCTGTATAAGAAAATCCCTTAAACAAACAACCACTTCCGAGGTCCACCCCTACCCCTTGCTTTTTAATTTTTAAAAACGTTATAAAGACACTTTGTAAGACGACCACCTATCTAAGACACCCACATTCTTTTTTTTACAATGGGTGGTCGTCTTATATATACAATTTCGACTGTATACTTTGATGTATTAACGTCGCCGAGTTTTTAATATACCCAGATTTTTCATGGCCTCGGATCTTCAGCTAGATACAACACAAGAACCTGGTCACACATTGTTGGCAATCTGTTCAACGGTTCTAAGCTCAAAAAGAAAGAAAAAGAAAAAAAGATATTCAGGAGAGAGTTTTTAGTTTTGTTTTAGTATAGTGAGAGCTTTACCGCACTCGCATCACAAAAAGTCAATTTTATAGGATAGAAGGAGAAAACCATACCAGAGCAGCTATAAACCACCCACTTCAGTAGAGAGAGAAAGCTGTTTCTATTCTGTTACAAAGTACATGTGATTACGTAAACTGTGTATTTGTTCCTTTTTTCTCAACATCGAGAACTTGAATATTTACATTTAATAAATGTAATATGCAACCGATATCAGTACTGCAATTTTAAAAACATATTTCTAAATTTTGGGCTTAGGCCATCTCTACACCGAAGTCTGTGGTGTAGCGGTTAGGTGCTTTGCTATCACACGCAGGAGACCCGAGTACGATTCCCGAATGGGGAGAAATTTTACCGAGTATGCTGAGGTGTTGTATCTCTCTCAGCCCGGGTCGGCCCAGACAGGCAGGGTCGGGAGGCTGCCTCCTAAATGATCAAAATTGTGTTGATGGGGGCGTATGCTTCCGGGAAGCCGAAAATGTTTTTGAGTGTTACAGGGTCTGATGGGGTAATAATAGAGTGTAAAATCCTATTTATTATGTTATTGTTTAAAAAATCTACTTAAAAAAAAAAACTTGATGTTTTACCATATTTTGTACGAGTATAACATGCAGCCGATTTTGCACAATTCAATACAATTTACGTAACCAACAAATAAGGGCACCAAAATCAGGACACGGAACAAAAAAAACAAACAAAAAAAAACAAAAACAAAAAAACCACAAAAAAAACAAAAACAAACCCGACTCTAAAAAAACCCCCAAACAAACAAAAACAAACAAACAACAAAACCCCCAAAAACATGCAGCCGATACCACAAACCAAGAAACTGCAATTTAAAAAAACAAACAACTAAATAAATTACAATCTTGGGCTTTGTACATCTGTACATTAAATATAAATGGCCACACATGTTCATCATGAGTCTGAAAAAGAACCGCTGTTGAGTTACTCTGGCGCGGAGCAGCACTCTTCATCATCATCATATTCTTCTTCTTCTCGCGGTCACGGGTGAGTGAGTGAGCTGAGATCGTGTGGTGACAATAGCGCGGAACCTCCCGAGCCGTCCGCGAGCTTACGCGGATTATGTCCCCTTCTCTTCCAAATGGCAGTAAAACTGGGAGATAAAAGGGGGCCACCTAGCGGCGGGCGTTTCACACTTGTCCAGGGAGAGGAGTGTTTGCGGGGCCTCTGGAGTACCTTCATAATGTGGGCACCCAGGAGGTGGGGAGATGGGGGTGGAGAGTAAGTACATACATGATGTAGTAATAAAGGACATAGCACTTATTCAGGGTGGGTGGTGGTGGTGTTAATGTATCATTATGGTCAGAAACGGACTCTGTCGCTGAAGCAATAACATTATTTCGCCGGCCGTGTCGCTTGGTAGTTAATGCTTTTGTGTTCTGCCTGTATTAAATCACATACTGATGTATGTATGTATGTATGTATGTATGTATGTATGTATGTATGTATGTATGTATGTATGTATGTATGTATGTATGTATGTATGTATGTATGTATGTAT